ATCGTGAGTACAAATGTCTCTTCAAGGGGTAATTCCAACCACAGGAGGTGAGAAAATGCTTTTCACTTCAAGTATATTACATTATAACTAGCTATATGTTACAGGCTTCATGGAACTTAACAATTTTTTAGCTGGAATTTATCTTAAAAATGAAACAAAAATGATGATCTGTTTTAAAATTTATGAATTAGATGAATTTCAGCTCTTGTTCTAACTTAATCAATTCATGTTCCTCCCTGATCCCTAGTTCCCGAAGACGTCGCTCCCGCTTTTACGACAACTAGCCATTAGGTATACACTTTTTACATTAATTTGCACTGTCTTTGTACTGTCTCTGTTCTCTTTTCCTTTCCATCTCACAAATATTTTCCTTGTGTTTCTTGTGATCTTATCGCAGCGTCGGAAAATGAGGCGGAGTTAAGGTAATAGAGGGTCGATTTAGACATCAGATTCATGTTAAATTATGATGATGATATGTTCATCAAACATTTGAGTTCTTACCTTGTGTGGTTTCGTTCTTTCAATTTTGTTTGGTGTCTTTATGGGGTTTTCCTAAGATGTATTCTGCTCACTCAAATATTGTCAAAAGGGATTGGATTGAAAGGCACCAAACTGATGGTTTATTACAGTGTACAGCTGATCTAAATTTGGTTCCTATGCTTCATTTAGAACTCTTCCTTATTCTTGCAACGTATTCTCGACATGCTTGATTGATGCCGAACCGATGCCGAACCTATGCTTCTAATCGTACAACTTCCTTCTCTAGAATGTTTTGTGCTTGCTTTTCATAATATTTGTTGTCAAATCTGAAATTGTTTGGCTTTATTTTCCAACTAATTCACAGTTATTTTCACTTTATGTGGGAGTGGCCTCATGTCATTATCATAAGATATGCTTAGATGGGAATCAAGCTAAAAATATCATGAGAAATATACTAATAGATCTACCCTTTTTAACACAAGTCAACTTCTATCCATAATCATAATAAGTAGCTTCCAAACTGACCCACTTTTCGAAAATATAGTTCGAACGAATCAAACTAATGAAAAAATTGGAAATAAGTACGGTAAATGATCTCCGTTGAAGATTGTTGTTAGGGAATGATCATGAGTTTATAAGTGAGGAATACTCACTCCATTGGTATGAGGCCTTTTGGGGAAGCCCAAAGCAAAGCCATGAGAGCTTATTGTAATTTTTAATATGGTATCAGAGCCATGCCCTAAAACTTAGCTATGTCAATAGAATCCTCAAATATCGAACAAAGAATTGTGAGCCTTGAAGGTGTAGTCAAAGGTGACTGTTGAACAAATTGTGTACTTTGTTCGAGAACTTTAGAGAAAGGAGTCGAGCCTCGATTAAGGGGAAGGCTTATAGTGTACTTTGTTTGAGGGGAGGATTGTTGTTTGGGAATAATCATGGGTTTATAAGCGGGGAATACTCTTTTCATTGGTATGAGACCTTTTAGGGAAGTTTAAAGCAATATCATACCATTGTGGAGAGTTGTGATTTCTAATAATCTCGACATAAAAAAAGTCAAAATTTAGTTCTTACGAGGTTAAATATGAAAATTTAATTAAATTAAAATAGCACCACTTGAGTAAATTACATGAAAAAGACACTAATTTGTTGGATGCTTTTAGTGTGTCAATTGTTCTGTTGTGCAGAAGCAAACAGACACAATCATTTGCCTTGGTTGTGTATTGGCCTGCATTACCCATGAGCTTGACCCCATAACTGCAAGATTATTCAACTGCTACCAATTATATATATATATATATATATATTACTAAATTATATAAAAAATAAAACACCTTTACTTTTTCACAGAGAAAAATGCATATTTTTAACGTTTCAAAATTATTCCTAAAACAAAAATTCATTAAACTGTTGGATGTGCGGCTGTGAATAACATGTTTGACTAGATTGAGTTTGAAAAATGATACTCAAACACGTTACTCGAACCAACTACGCGAGCCAAGCCGAGCCCCGTCTTTGATTGTGTTCTTGAGATCGGGTTTTCTATCAACTTCTCTTGAACCTTGCCTGAAAAAGTTTGTTCAAGAAGAAACAAGTTAATGGTATAAATAAGAGGAGACGCATTTTGTTCAAGGGGAGGTGTTAGACAAACACGACTCTCCACAATGATATGATATTGTCCACTTCGAGCATAAGTTCTCATGGCTTTGCTTTGGGCTTTCCCAAAAGGCCTCATACCAATGAGGTTAGTATTTCTCACTTATAAACCTATGATCATTCCCTAAATTAGCCGATGTGGGACTTTCTTCATCCAACATATATAATCGGAAAGAACATGTACTCGAGCCGGCTATGTAATGTTACAGATAGGTCCTTTTATAGCAAGCACGGTAAGATTTTCAAGACGCTTCCATTTAACTCCCATCCTTGAATAAAACCCGACAAGCAAGGGAAAAATTGACATATTAAGGAACTTATGCAGTAGCTGATAGCTCTATCAAACAAAATAGAGAAAAGTCTTACGTTCAGCTAATTTAGGGAATGATCATGGGTTTATAATAAAATAATACTATCTCCATTGATACGAGGCAATTTAGGAAGACCAAAGCAATAAGAACTTATACTCAAAGTAGACAACATCATATATTGTGAGATTCGTGATCGTGGAAATGGTATCGGAGTCATTGCCCTAAACTTATATATGTCACATGCAATTTTTTAATATTTTAAGGTATTTTTGTAATAAAGTAGTAATGAATTTTTTTAAAATTAAAAAGTATTTTTTAAACAAATAATATTGATTTCTGTTAACAAAATTATGTATTATTATTATTATTATTTTAAAAAGTTTCACAATCTACGGAATCAGGAGGGAAAAGAAAAGGCAATATTGGCGGGAAATGAATTACCATTCGCAAAACTGCCTCTTCAGTATATATATATAGCCTCGATTTCTTCGCTACTTCTGCATCAACGACTTTCGCGGAGTCGCTCTCTTCTGCGGCAATGGAGTTAGATTGGCGCGCTTTTGATCCGGTAATACTCTGTTCTACATCTATCTTGCAGTACTGTTATGGCTGTATCTGTTGTTTTTGTTTGCTGAGCAAATAGTAGGAAGGTAAATATGATCAATACTTGCGAAGTTTGAATGAATTTTGATTAGTTCGATTAGTTTCCTCATCTGCATAGTTTGAGATAAATCAAATAGTAGAAGCAGAATGTTGGATTCCACTTCTCATTTTTCTCCTCCTCGATGTTCTTGGACTGTTTGATTGCGTGGAATATACTGCGAGATGGAGGATTTTGAGAAATTTTGGGAATTAGGATCGAATTAGATTGTTTTTTTTTCCTATGCTCTGTTCGTAAACTAGATGAATCGGTTATTGTAGTCGTGCTTTCCTTGCGCGCATCACTCATTCATAGCGTTAATGCAGTTTAGATATTCTGAAACTGATGAAGCTGATAGTCGATTCTTTCATTACGACGACATGAATTTGTCTTAAATGGAACTTACATACTATAGCCTTACTCTGTTACGATGATAAAAAGAACCGTACAGTTGAACCTTGGAATACTATAACATAAAATACTTTCTCTGATCAGGATGGATTGTGTTTGTGATATAACCTCTAGATTTACAAATTCCAACAGGAAAAACTGAATGTCACTACACATGATTGAACTGTGAATCAATATTTTGAGAAAGGAAGAAGTCAGCCTGCAAAATAAAGAAAGTTGTGGTTCAAGTCACTTACATTCCAATGAAAGGTAAAACCGTCATAAATTAAGAGTTTGAGAGTGAAGTTTTGGTTTGATTTACCTTCAATAGTGTTTTCCTAATCCATAAGGTTTACCTAAGTTTCTTTTCCTCCCTTTCAAATCGGTTTAGGAAAAGGTTGAACAGGACATTTTTCCACTTTATCGTGCCATGGGCGTGCGAGGTGCACGTCACATGTCTGGCATAGCTCGCCACTTGTGTTCAATTCGGCTTGAGGTAGGATTTTGGGCACCAAATCTAGGCCCGTTTTCTATCCGTCAGATTTGATGTGTCCAAATTTACCCATAACACAAACTCTTAACATAAATTCCAAAAATTCAAGTTCTATTAGAAGGGGATCTCTATGGCATTAGATATTTTAGATTAATAGAAGGATATCATACCATTTTATAATGGCAGAATCTGATTGTTTGAAAGTTGTAAATTGCTATGATTCAAGGATTATGATTTTATTAAATTTAGAGGTGTACGCCGGTCGAAGACATTTTGAACCTTATAGAACCCTCTATTATCATCTTCTTTGACCACATTAACTAAGATTGAAATACTATGACATAGTTTGCAAAGTATAAAATAGTGTCTAGCTTAAAAGGGTATGGAAATAGAGAGATGTGATTTTTTTGAAAAAGAAACTTTGTTACTAACTATAATAGAATTCTTAGATAAATAAAAAAAAAAACCTAGAGGTATATTTTTAGTCTATGCTTTTCAGTCTAGACTTATTTAAATTTAATTTAATATATTTTAACTTTGTTTATATATGTCATTCTTATGTACATTCTAATAATACTTACCTTTCTTGAATCGATTTATTATCTTCTTAGCCTAATTTAAACTTTTAATCCACTCATTTGGAAAATTTTCAACCAGAATGATAAAATTTAAAAAGAAAAATTGAAACTTTCTATGGGATAGGTCTCACCTCTTTTTTTCCGTGTGAATTGGGGAGTATGTTGCACGTGCCTAGGGCCAACAAGAATTCCAATTTTCCTCACCTTTGGACACATGGCCATATATTCTTGGCTTGTCACGTGAAAACCCACACTTGCCTTTCGTAGGTATCATTCCCAATCAAAACATTGCTACCTCTTTTTCTCGGTTTCCTTTTCTTTATTGGATAATTGATTTGTCTCTATCTATACTCTCATTTCGATTGAAAAGATATTTCAATGATTTGATTATAGAGTAAAAACACCTTTTACATGGAAAAAAAATGCGATCCATTCAATTTTTTGAAGCAAAAAAAAAACATAGCACTGTTTTATTGATTTATATAATACAAACACATCATTATATAACATACATCACATGGATGAAACTACACAAATATTTAAAGATAATTACGGAGAAAAGCTTAAGCATAACTAAGAACGTCCTAATTAGCTAGGGAAACGACCATTTTTATAAGATTGAAGGACAAAGAAATATAGATGATGATAAAAATGCACGAGAAACACTTGAATTAAATGAGGTACATGCATGGGGGATTATATTATATCATATAATGAGATGAGAGATGGAAATACACATGATGAAGCTAGGTGTCAACTCACACATCTCGAACATGGAAGAGATTGGGATTTTTAATGACTATGTCATACATGTGAATGGAGTTGAACTTGGCGAAGTCCCTAGGAAGAGAAATTAGATCAATGGAAGAACGTTTATGAAACTGAAAGAGTTCTGGATCCCCTCCATAGTATCTCTCCCATCCTAAGGACGTGAGGATTTCCTCTAACGAAGAGTAGGATGACACTGCTTGTCCCGTCGGAAGGTATATCAATACCTTTCGTCTGGAGTTGCCTAGCCTTCCATCAGAATCTGCTTGAGGATTTTCAATCAAGCGAATTACACCGTTCTTGAAAACCCAAACTCCAGACATGATATTATTTCTTACTATGGTTGATCTTGATGTTTGGTGAGGAGTAGGAGAAGTACTTGGTGGAGTGAATGAAGGAAGGGGTGGAGTGGGTTTGGTTTATATACGTGCAAATTGATCGACGTCGCAAATAAAACCAAGATTAAAATACTCCTAAGAATGTCTGGCTTTTGGCATAGAATCTAGATATAATGTGGGTCCTAATGCATTTAAATATGAGGGTACAGGGATTCTCTCGAGGGTGTTATTTTAGGGTACTAGAACCATCCGTGTGGTTTGGTTCGATTTTTAGGAAGAATCTCTCTCTCTCTCTCTCTCTCTCTCTCTCTCTCTCTCTGTATATATATATATATATATATTATATGTTATTTCAACCTTTACTTTTCTTTATATAGAGAAGAATCTTTGTAAATTATAGGCACTACACTACTCTAAAATATAGTACTTTATTAAAAAACAGAAGGTGCCAACCACTTCTATTCACGAGCTATCCATGTGAAGGGGGTTGGTATATTTGGAGATACGCATTGGACTCGGTTAAGATCGATGTCAATGTATTGCCTTAGTAAAAAAGTGAAAGTATATATCATGAAAAAAATTCTTGAATAAAACTTAAAAATCCGAGAGACGAAATAATTTGGTCACTTTATCTAATTTTGCTTTCTATCCTGAAACTTATGTTCCAAAATATTTGTACACGTGGTTATTTCTACAAATTGCAAGTTTTTTTTTTTTTTTTTTTTTGTGCCTTATGAATAGGTTTACCTCATTTATTTCATGGGTACTTTTTTTTCAGTAATCTAGTCAAAATGCTGTCATTTCTGATTAGATAATCTAAACTTGTTAAACATATACTTGAAGTTTGAATTTCCACCCTACTCTCACACTATGGTTAAACTAAAGAAAAGAAAGGTTAGAGAGGAGAGATAAGGCTATATTACTTGTCAAATATACTAGCACCATCACTATCTATTATATTAGACTGATCAGGCATTACCTAGCAAATATATACGTATAATATATTAGACTGATTATTGTTTGATTTCTGAGAAAGCTTGTTATTAATATTTGAATACCACAGTGAGAACGAATTTGTAGCTTTGATAATTAATGTAACTTCTATTCAATAGGACCACCTTAGATGCAACTGTATGAATATCCCTTTCTTTTACAACTTCTCAGTCATTATTTCATAAATTCAAGCTTAGAACTCCTACCTTCACCCACTTGCTATCACGTGGGCTACATGGTCCTGCCGCCGGCATGTCAATTCGAGCATTTTGCATGACTTAATCTGCTTGCATCATATTTCCCCTAGAAAAAAATTCATAAATTTAAAGACACGTTTCGAGTGTATCTACATTTTCATATTTTCTTTATTCATTTTTGTTAATGTTAAGCCGGCATCCAAATCAAATATTATTCCATAAAAATCGTGTTTAAGAGTGTAAATAGAAATACTAAGTTGATTTTCAATAATTAAAGTTATGATTTGAACAATTTTAACTTCAAACTGATTTTAACTTCAACAAGAATGACTTCTAAATCAGTTTTTTTCTTTCTTTCTTTTTCAATGATAGCTACGAGAGGCCAAGTGGTGATCTGGTGGTCCTCATATTGTCGAGATTGGATCAAAAGGTGTCCCCTACAAAGGCTGTATTCCAGATAAAAGAGCAGTTGTATGCATACCTTTAACCATTCAACCTTCAAGCTGGCAAGTCTTTTTGTTTCTTCATGTTCCTCTTTATGGCTGCCATGAGGTAAGATCGAGATATTCCCCTTACTTTTTACCAATTCGTTTTTATCTCATTTACTCACTTCCCAATTTCCATCTGAAAAATATGTGCACGTATAGTTGTAGTTGTAGGTCCCTCTACTTATGGTATATATATCTATATATATAAGTATAATCTTTTATCGTCATTAATACTTAATGGGGAGTATGTACGAGAATATTTCTAAGTGAAGCAGAAAGTGCTTGAATATTTTTTCCAAAGTTGGGAAATGAATCACTTTCTTTCCGTAAATTAGGAACAAGAAGAATTGATGGCGTCCAAAATGGGATAAAAATTAGATTTTCGTTGACATTAAGTGAGTTTTTTTATTCGTCAACTTCATGGGTAGACATATATTGTAGGAGGTAGGCCTATAATTACTTTTCCATTTCACAAGAGTGTTCGAATTTTGGAGGACAAAAAAGCCACCAAGCATTAAGTTTTATTTAATTACAAAGCTTCTCTAACATTACGTTTATCAACTTATATTATAATTGTAGATATCATCCAAGGGATTCTGGGAGGAAGTATTTAATTTGCAAAATTCAATCATGAACGATACACCACAAACTTTATAGAGCAACTTGGGTAGCTTTTACCTTTCTAGTTTTATATGCATATAAAGAATCGTCCATTGTGGGATAGAAAACAGAAGTGGTTTGTCTACCCTCCACTATCGAAAAGTAGAAAAATTATTCGAAGAAGCCATCACAACGAAAGAGTTATAATTTTACACGGTTGAATCTTAAATTATTAGGAGCAAATAAATTTTAAAATCTAAAATCAACCCTTATAAAAAAAAAAAAACATATCTATTATAACGATGTAAATAGTGTCACAGTCGTAAATAGTGTCACAGTCCTGTATTCGTTTAGAGGGATGGTATTGTTACAAAGCTTAGAACAACAAAAAAAAACATGGCCCAATTACAAAAGACGGAAAGGTGGGAAAAAGGAAAATTCCCTTTAGGTGCATGGACCAGTTGTGTCCTTGTGGGGTAGAGAGGCTTTGCTTTACAGTAAATTAACTTGTTATGGTCATGCATCTTATACTGATGAGCTCCACATTCGTAGATCATTACATTCAAATATAGTTATTAATTACTAGCTTGCTTCGAATTTCTGTGTATGCTTTTTCATGGGTTCGGCACATGGGAATCTTGTGAGGTACTTTCTGATATGCCATTTACATCAATCTTATCAACTAAAATTTTTAATGTTCTATTCATATGTTAAGAAAAGAAGTGCAAGGATGATAAACTTTTAATGTTTATCGATTGAATTGGTATGAGAGTTAGTGGAATACATTGCATTGGAAGGATAATATATAGTCTTCTTCCCAAAAAAAAAAAAGAATCATTATCTGGGTTGATAATAAATGTGGTACATACATGTCATAGAAAAAAGAAAATATTTTTAAAAATTATAGATGTAAAATAATATTTTTTATTATATTTTTTTTTCTTAGAAGTATTAGCCCAAAATATACCTTCTTTTATTATGTTAATACATTAGTATTTACTTTAGATTGAATATCATATTATTTTTACTTTAGGTTGAGTATCATTTTATTTTCTTTACAAGCTCATAATCTTCCTTTTTCTAAGGCTAGAATTCCTTCACAGTTACTCATGATTTTTATGATAAGTGAAGATTAGATTCAATAAACTTTTACTATTATTGCTATATATTTACTAAGAGGTACATCTTGATTAGAGATGCATAATCCTTCATTTTCTAAAAATCTCTTCATAGAGTTAAAACGACTAAATCTCTCAAGCAAGTCATCATGCTACCTGTTTTTTTACCTATTTTTTCTTTAGAGGTATATCACCTATTTGTTTTTTTTAGAGGTATATCACCTATTTGATCCAAACTTAATTAATAATAATTATTTTAAAATAATTATTTTAAAATCCTATTGTCATAGAAAGATCATTAGCCCAATGGTTCACCTATATCTAGTTTTAAAATTTTATGTTTTAGTATTCCATTTCTCATCATCGAATTATTCTATAATTTTATTTATTTAGAATCAAGAATCTCATAAAATTCTCACTTTTTAGATTGATGGAGTCTCACTTTTTAGATCGATGGAGTATTTTTATTGGAAATGCTTGACAACCATAATTTATGTTTTTCTCTAGCATTATCATTATATAAACTTATAAACTATTTATCATGGCATTTCCTAAGGGAAAAGAGAGAGAAATGTTGATTCGTCCTTTTAGTGACAGGATAGGTACTCCATAAAGAAAAGATTAATTAGTTTAAATACATGAAATTAGGGATATGTTCGCCATAGCCCTAAGTTAATTGCATTAATTAAAAGCAACCTTAAGGAAGTTATTCCTAAAGGCTAAAAAGGAAGAAATCAAATAGGGTAGTTGGGAGGGTATATGTACTCCATGCCTCTTTTTTTAATTTATATCTTACTTAGTTTAGGTAGGACAGAATATTTAATACCTTAATTTTTCATATTATTTGGATTCTGCATTACTAACTTAATTAATACTTTACTTTTCTCATTTAATAAAGTATTATATCTTAGTAGCAAATTTACATATTCATTTATATTTGAAATTATCTTAATTACTTAATTAACGTCATATTCTCTTAATTCCTTTATGTCAATCTTAAAATTCTTATTTGATTTTTTTTAGGAGAATGTCTTTCAGATTGAGATATTATTCAATATTACTAAATAGTTTAAATGTGATTCATGTACCTTCTACGTATAAGTATATATTTTAATTTGTTGTCTGTTCTGTATATTTATTAAATGATGATGCAAGTGAGCATATTTATTTATTTTTTATTATGTATTCTATGATTATAAATATGTTTTATTTGTATATAATTATCTATTATGAAAAAGGTATTTGTTGAATTTTTTGAATATAATAATAATAATCATGGATCATTCATTATTATATATATTATTATTATTATTATTTTGAAAAGGTTGTAAATTAGTAGGAAGTAGAGTTGTAGAAACATGATAATATTTTAGTTCGAAGCCCGCACTGATCTTTGTTGTGGATATATGGTCAGTCTATACAATAATTTTTGGGCCTTTTCCGGTAATGCATAATGTGTTTTAGCCCATTTTTCATTTGTGTCGAAATTGGGAAAATTGTGTGCTCTAGAGTTTAATCTAATTTTCTTCGATCTCATACTAACCCCAAATCTCATGTATCTAAGGAATGTACAAAAAATTCAATAGCTCAAAAATCTTAATCAATCCAACTAAATTCATATTGGGTCATAAATTTATAAAATAATTATTAACTATTTCAAACTCATAATTAATATTTTCTAAATTTAGAAAATTGCATTTTTTTTGGATCATTTTAGTCATTTTCCATGGATCTACTATTTCATAGGTATATCATTACCATGACACATTTTAGTCTTTTTTCTAGTTTTAGTATTACATATCGTTTTTTTGTTTTAGTATAGTGTTTGTTCTATTGGTCCAATATTTGATTGTTGTTTCTATCAATGAAAAAATTCTCCGAACTATAGATCAAATTATAATAGACGAGTCTTGCAACATTCGATTATGTATTTCAATTCAACTAATAAGTTAGGTTTGTTTGTGAAAAGTTGAAAGATGAGTAAGGGAGTAGAAAGGAAGTGCAAAACGGTGTAACAAAGATGAGAGAGATTTTTTTTTCTTTTATTTTGAGTATGACTTGTCCACGTGTCCGGCAGCAAGAAGACCCTGCCCGCCGTTGAAGGTTTACTCATACATTATTGGACTTTTTTTCCTTTTTTTTTCATTTTCATATGAAGTTTTGATGATTGTAGGCATAAACAATCCTACCGATTCTTCCGCTGTTGATATCTCTCTCTCTCTGATTTTCTCTTTCGTTCCTTCACATTTTCTGAATTTAAAAAGCCATGTAGAGTGACATCAATCCGGCCACCATCACTCCGGCGCCGGCGATGTGGCCACGTGAAGCTGCCGAATGGTCTTCCTCGTCGTCTGGACTCGGTGCATCTGCATCCTCTTCGTCATCAGCAGATGGATGAGGAGCACTCGACGGTGCATCAGGCGCATCCGCCGTCGGAACTGGAGAGTCGGCGTCTGGTGAGGGAGCATCGGCTGGAGACTCGTCCGCCGGTGAAGGAGTATCAGCCAATGGAGTCGGAGCGGGAACAGGAGCAACATCTGGTTCCGGTGCAACAGGCGCTGGAGGAGGCAAATTGTAACGTCCAATGCCAGGGACCACAATCGGAGAACTGATTTGAATAACAGAGATATTGTAGGGCTGTGAGGCAACAGCTCTGACAAACATTGAGGTGAAAGGCGCGCCTTTCCAAGCAGATCCGAATTCGATTTGACCTCTCCTGTTCAGCACAACTTTCACAAACCCTTGCTCGCGTACGGCGTCGCCAGTGGCCTGGAACATGGTAGTAAGTACTGTAGGCTTGTTGGTGGAGAGCTTCCTGAACTTAGCAGAATCGTAGTAATCGAGAATAACATGAGCACTCAAAATCTGCTTGATTACGTCAAGAGAGTTTCCAGTGATGCTCGGAACGACGCCATTGTCGAGGGCGAGAATGGTGATAGTTTGGCGAATGTTGATCTGTTCGAAGAGACGAGTTTTCGTCAGATATCCATTGAAAACGCCAAATTCAGGGAACCGATTGAGGAGCCTTGTGATGTTGAAGCCTGAAACAGGAACAGAGCAGGCGAAGAGGAAGAACAAAACAAAAGTAACAGAGATCGAAACCGAGGACTTATTCATGATTGTTGCTTCACTACTTATTCTTTTTTTCTTTTTTTTGTTCGTTTTTTGTCAAATGAACAATGAATTAACTTTTTTGTTGCTGCTTGTCTCTGTTGCAGAACCAAAGGGATGAATTTATAGGAGCAAAAGATCAAGCAGATCACAGATTGGCAAAGCAATTGCTTGGTTGGGCGTGAATTTCTCTCAAAGTAACAACAAGAACACAGTGGTATGTGTTCATCCTCACTATATTTAGTAAATTGATTTGTTAGTCTGTTTGGGAATATCTCGTTTCACAGATTAGTTCATTTATTTATGGAGGAGATCGTTATAGGTTGAGGATTCGGTTCTCTTAACGAATCTATATATTTTTCTTGGGACAAATTATCAATTATAAAGACTATTCTAACCCAAAAAAAATATCACAAGGTATATAGTGCTAAGTTATTTAGTGACATATGCATATTGTTAAGCTACGGATACTTTATTGCTTTATTAGGATTAGGATTAGGATTAAGAATCGAATTTGTAGATAGCTTAGAAAGCAGAAACTAAAGATGCATTTTTCAGCCCGTCTTAGAACGTAGTTAAAATTCGAATTTTATACTCGTACATTTGTACACATAAGTATTTTGACACTGTACAAAAATTGTACATATCAGGTCGTTGAGTCGTGATAATAATGAAACGCCATAACTCAATTCAAAACCCTATGAGTGTGAAAGGGTTGGTCATTAGCCAACACTTAAATTTCCTCTCTTGGGTTGATTTTGCTTCAAGGTTTGTTAAGAGTCACAAGGAACTAATGGAAGCTTTGATTGACGTCAAATAAGCTAGGACTCTTTTAAGGATTGACTATGAATAAGGTTTCTGCCAAAATAGCATAGATCAACCCGTTGGTCTAAAGCTAATGATCTTAGTATTAAAATTTCGTAAGAGCTTAGTATTAAAATTTCGGCCAAAATACAATCTTAACCAGCTTAGTATTAAAATTTTGTAAGATTAAAATAGTAATTAATCAAATTAAAAAACTTAAAAGGGTAGAATACATTAGGGAAACCAAACATTATAACTAAATACCTCTTCTTAACAACAGCTTAAAAGGAAAAGTTGCTAGGAGTGGGCTAAAATTATGAACAAGAACATTAAATATTTTATAAATAAATTTAGAAAATTAGACCTAGAATACCACAATGTGTTATAAGTGCAAAATTGACTTTCAAAACCCATCCGTCATTTAAGAAAAAAAACACAAACACAAACAATATAGAGCCACTCTGTCTAATCATTAATACAAAGGACAACCCATTCAAAATAAACCCACCCTGTGATTGTTGTTCAAACCTGATGGCTTCACCTTTGCAATCGAATACCAGCACACACATTGACATTGGCATTCAAGTTTCCACCATCAAAGCTACTCCCACAAAAGAACAGTGCATAATCCTTATAAGCCAGCAGCCAATTAGTCATATATATCATCTATCATCAAGGGTTTTCTCATTATCCTTTTATCTTCTCAATGATATCTGAAATTACCTCCTCCATGTCCAGTTCCTTCATTCGTGTAAACGGTCGCTTCATGTCCTAACACGACGCAACGTATGATGATGTTATATGGGACTTTATTGATCTCGTCTAACGAGTATTGTTGCAATGAGGTTATGTGTGAACTTATCAGAATAAATGGGAAAATTCTAGACAGTTGAAGGGTTGTTCCAAGAAAGTAATAACAAATAAAAGGATTACCAGAAGACTGATAAACTTCTCGCCATCTTCACTCCGAATTTCAAAGCACCCTCTTCTTGGCTGCATAATTATTAAAACAAAATGAGAAGAGGGAAAAACAACATCAATTTCTTTCATATACTTTTAAGTTTCCTTCACAATATTCTCGGGGATTGATAGCATTCTTGTAAGGAAATGAGAGATTATGGGGATTTATCAAAGTGGATAATATCATATCATTGTACAGATGATATGGGTCAGTGTGTCCAGTAATCTGATCATGGAATGCATTGATACCTGCGATGTTTCCCTAACCTAAAAGTTCAAAGTTAATCAATGATTCCCGAGTGCAAATTCTAACTTTTGCTCGTGAATCAGCTAAAAACCCGAGTCCTAAAGTCGCAAACTCAAGATTTCCCTCTAGAACCTCCACCTCACTATGACTCTACCCAGCAGAGAACATGAGAGCTTAAAAAAGTAAAGCATTATGCTTGGAAAGTAAAACCTACACCACCTTCTACAAGATGGAAGGAAAAACGAAGAACAATCTGCTTGGTTACCAAAATAAAGAACCCAAATTAATTGTTTTTTTTATTAAGCATAGCATGTAAGAGTTGAAGAAGTCAAAAGACTACCTTATCAGGGTTGAGCAGAACAGTGATTCCAGGAACACCCTTCTCTAGACCATTCTGCACCTCCATCGCCCTTTTCTTGAACGATTGGCACTGCTTACTACAAAGGGAACAAACAAAAAAATGGGAAAATGTCACAAAACAAACACTGCACATGACATGTGAAAGAAAGAAGAATCACCATGTTTCTAATGTACTTTTCCTTTTCATTCATTAGAAGTTCCATTGCAAAAAGCAGAGGCAAATGCAAGAACAAAGAGGAACAATTGCCCCTTGAGCCCAACACTACGCGGTGTCAAAGAGAGTGGATTGTGAGATTTCACGTTGATTGGAGAGCATAATGAGTGCCGTGAGGATGCTGGACCTTGAAGGAGATGGATGGTGAGATTCCATCCATTGGAGAGTGGAACGAGAGCCAGTGAGGACTGGAACTCGAAGGAGATGGATTGTGAGATTCCATCAATTGGAGAGCGGAATGAGTGCCAGCAATAACTCTGGCCCCAAATGGGGGTGGATTGTGAAGTCCCACATCAGTTGGAGGGGAACAAAACGCTTTATGTGTATTGAATAATGGAAGTCCCACATCGGCTAATTTAAAGAATGGTCATGGGTTTATAAACAGAGAATATTCTCTCCATTGGTATGAGGCCCTTTGAAAAGCCCAAAATAAAGCCACGAGAGCTTACACTCAAAGTGGACAATATCATACTACTGTGGAGAGTCGTGTTCGTCTAACATGATATCAGAGCCATGCCCTAAACTTAGTCGTGCCAATAGGAGTTGAGCCCCTCTTTGAAGGCAGTAAAAAATGACTAGGACTCCAAAGAAGTCTAGCCTCGATTAAGGGGAGGTGTTGGATGATGGAAATTTAGGGAGGGTTTATATACAAAAAAAATACTTTCTACATTGGTATAAAGCCTTTTGGGAAGCAAAACTACGAGAGCTTACACTCCATGTGTAGAGCAATGACACAGGACTCGAATGAGGGTGGATTGTGAAATTCCACATCGGTTGGAGAGGGGAACGAAGCACTTTGAGAGAGGAAGCCCGAATGAGAAAGTTTGAAGAGGATATGATCATGGGTTTATAAACAAAGAATACTTTCTACATTGGTATGAAGCCTTTTGGGAAGCAAAACTATGAGAGCAAGCACTTTGAGAGAGGAAGCTTCCACATCGGTTGGAGAGGGGAACGAAGCACTTTGAGAGAGGAAGCCCGAATGAGAAAGTCTGAAGAGGACAATGTCCGCTAGCGATAAGGCTCGAATTATTACACTACACATATTCCTGGTGCCAATGCAGATTTCTAGGAAACTTCAAACCCTAGAAACATGAACTTCAAATTAACCGAACCAATTTTCGATTCATTTCCAAGCAAGAAATGGAACCAAAAAATCTTACCAATGTTCAATCACAACCGCTCTGTTCTTAGCTTCCACGCCAAGCTTCTCTGAGGCAGCGTCAAGATCCTCTCCCTCATTTTCAACCTCCTCCGCCTTCCCATTCTCCTTCGGACCACGTTTCGCCTTCTTCCTCTTTGGCAACTTCACCACAGTCTCCTCCACCGTCAAATCGGCCTTCGAGTTCCCCGCCAGCCGGGGCGACCTTCTCGTCACCCTCGACGACGCCGGGACCGGCTTCGCCACCGCCGTCTCGTCTTCCTGGATCTTGCTTCGCTTTTTCGGCGCCATGGAAGAAGACCTGAAACCCTAAAAACACAGAGATACTCAGTGTAATGGAGGAAACGAGATTTATCGGCTTCAAAGTTCAATCTATCTGTTCCACTTCCACTGAGAGTTGTGTATGCGACCGTTGGTTGGCAGTGATGCACAGTTTATGGGATGGATTAGGTTTGGTTTTCCCGCGCTTTTGTTATCGGCGGTGGGATTTTGAAGCGACGGTGGAAATGAATTTGGAGGATGAGAATGGATCGTGGCCGTTGACTGGGTGGTCGTACGACGTCCACGCAGTTCCAGTTTGGTTTCTTCTGTGGAAGGAAATGGCGGCACGAAGTCCCAAGAGTTACTTTATTCATTTTTTTTTAATCATTAAATTTCCTTCCACGTGTTTTTTCTGCCGGATCATTTTAAATGTGTCCGTCGATGGGTAATTTAAAAAGTTGGATATTAGTAGCTCATTATTTGTAAAAAGCAATTTTAATACACATAGTTATCAAGCTTATTTGAGTTGAATTAGGTTCAGATAGACGAAAATTTTATAGATTTGGTTAGAGATGTGAACGAAGCATTTTTTGTTAGGATGTGGAAGCCTCTCCTTAGTATACACGTTTTCAATTCGTAACGGGTCGAAACGAATAATATTTGCTAACGATGGACTTGGGTAGTTATAAATAGTATCAAAACTAGTCATCGGATAATCAAAACACTAGTTGAAGTCGGGTTAGACCCTCTTCATATTAGATGTGTTTTAAAACCTTGAAGGAAGAGTAGGAAGGAAAAGCTAAAATATGACAATATTTACTAACTCTGACTCTCTGTTAATTGAATTCCCTGCTCCTGGTATTAGTGGATTTCGGTTGTTACAAATGGTAGGATTTCGGTTGTTACAAATGGTATTAGAGCCGGGCATTAAGCGGTGTGTCAGTAAGGATACTGGTCTCCAAGAGAGTGGATTGTGAGTTCTCATATTGATAGGAGAGGTGAACGAAACATTTCTTATAAGGATGTAGAAATCCGTCGCTAATAAATGTGTTTTAAAATCTCAAGGAAAAGCATGAAAAGAAAACTACAAAGATAATGACATCTGCTAGTGGTGGGTTTATACATCGAGCTTATTTGCATAGACTTGTACTAGATCATGTTGGGCAGTTATCGAAATAATCCATGAATGGATCCATCAAAAGCTGCAAAGAAAGCGTTAAAGGTATCTGCAAGGTATGAAGGAAGCTTTGAGGCTACCGTTCATTCCATAACTTTACCAAAGGATTGCCACCTAAGACATTCAAGAAACGTATTGAATGCTGAGTATTAATATGGACACTATTATTGATATCACAATTATGTTATTTGACTCTTTGAGCTCATTTATTTATGGCCTTTGTTTCTATCACTATAGCTTCTTTATGATTAGTATATACATGAATTAATTACGTAAACTAGGTACGACATTAATTATTATCGAACTATAATTGAATACATTTATTATAGAATCGTGTTAGGTGAAGAACTAATTTCATCAAGATTATGTTGATACACTGGCATATGACCATCACAATTATAACCAGTTTCTTGACTTATATATGCAGTATTTATCAAAATATATGACAAATGAATTTTGCTCAAATAAATCAAATTCTCATCATGTAAGAGGAGAATGTATCGAATAGTATTGAATAGCATTGAATAACTTACAAAAATATAAACGCTTAAAATTTAATTGGTCGACTATATCATTCCGAAATGTCTTGTGTTTACCGCCTAAAGTGTTGACTTTCTCTTCCGGACAATGTTGTGAACCTCAATCATACCAAAAAAAAAAAAAAACAAATAAAACAATTAACTCGAGTTTAAGTACTTGTACCAAAACAAACATGATCATAAATATGGTCACTTTGGATTAAAAATTAACTGCTTAGTAGAACAAAAGTCAGGAAAGGGGGTTGGCTGATGATGGATATTCGGGGGACCCATGGTTTACGTATTTAAACTCCGATCGTATAGTTGGGTCTCTGCTTACTCTATGAATTCACATATAAGGAAGACCTGACTAAGCAAGTTTCTGTGTTTTTCAAAGCTACAAATATCTGCAAAGCTCAAACAAGTTCGATTCAATCTCGTTTGGTTCGGTAATCAATGAAGCTGAAGCTATCTTTTTAAATTACATCTAAATGAAAACACAAAACAAAAGAAAAGGTAATAACAGTAACACCATCAATATGACAACACAAAAATAAGGAAATAAGAAGCAAAAATTCCCAGCTGATTGACATCTACTTTATATAACGAGACGTTCAGTTCTTGCTCATCAGGTGTGTCATCTATGAGCTCAATTTCTTAATTTAATTGAACCTTTTTATAAAACTATGGCTGAGAAGACAAGCCACAAACCAAAGAAAGGCAGCCAACCATGGCAGCTTCAGGTTCACTTTCTACGACTCTACATAAAAGGAATCAGCTATAGCTCTGGAAAGAAGGCTCATCGGTGAGAAATAGGGACATGATTCATTTCATTGTGTGATGTGGTTGTTCCTTTTAAAACCATTGGATTGGATGCGTGGTCGAAATACAATTTTTAGTTATCCTACCGTATAATCAAACCAACGGTATAAAACTATTAACCACATTGTTCTAACCTCTTAAATGACGTCTCGGTGTCGAGGAGGGCAACGAGATGGCCTAAACAACCACCGTGTAGTTAGAGAAAAGGTGGGACAATCTTCCCAGAGTTTCTGGATAAAATTTTCTAGCAAATAGATGGCATGGTCTTTTCACTCCATTCCACAAGCAGGGTTTGAACATCACCCTCTTCTGCAGGATCAAAGCAAAAAAATCATTTCTGAATCACTTGAAATTAACTAAATTGCTATTGTACTAAAAAAAATTAAAATCTCTTTTCTCTCTTGCTTTTTACAATACTCTCTCAACCGTGCAGGTACTTTTTATTTCCACACTCCAACAGTCATATTAAACTCATCTAAAATCATTTTCCTTACCATTAAAACAAAATTAACATTTTACTCATATATTTACACATTGTTATATCCAAACCATTTAGGGGTATCCAGGGAGTGGCAAAATTTCGTGAGATCCCACATCAGTTGGAGAGGAGGACAAAACACCCTTTATAAGGGTGTGGAAACCTCTCCCTAGCAGCGCGTTTTAAAAAACCTTGAGGGAAAATCCAAAGAGAACAATATCTACTAGCAGTGGGCCTGAGCTGTTACAAATGATATCAAAGTTAGACAAGGGGCGATGTGCCAGGGAGGAGGTTGTTCTCCAAAGGGGGTAGACACGAGGTGGTGTGCCAGAAAGGACGTTGGGCCCCGAGGGGGGTGGATTTGATGGGGGTCCCACGTCGATTGGAGAAAGGAACGAGTGCTAGTGAGGACACTGGACCTTGAAAGGGGGTGGATTGTGAGATCCCTCATCAGTTGGGGAGGAGAACGAAACACCCTTTATAATAGTGTGAAAACCTCTCCCCAACAAATGCGTTTTAAAAAACCTTGAAGGAAAATCCGAAAGGGAAAGCCCAAAGAGGATAATATCTGCTAGTGGTGGACCTAGGCCGTTACATTTTATCACTCACTTTTTATACGTATAAACTTTCTAATTCTAAAGTCCCAGGAGAAAATGAAAGGAAACTTCATGATCATAATATTTGTTTAGATTTTTCTAGTTTAAGAAAGGAGTATGTTTCTAATCCTTCTTATCTCCTTCCAAAAAGACTTTAATTTTAAAACCAAAATGGAAAATAAAAAGCGGTACGATAATGCTGCACCAGATCCCATCTGGAAAAAGGAGAGACATAGCAAGCCAATGACTGGAAAAATTAACTTCAGAACCCAAACTAAAATAATTACATACCGGTGCAGTACTCGTAATTTGAGCGGCCTTATCTAACGACTGTGAGCAAAATAAAAATTTATCAAGGTCAAAGATTTCATATACTAGAAACATAAACATTGCAGAAGTAATTTTATCTGTCACGTACAGCAATATTCTTCAGAAGCTCATAGGTGACATCTTGATTCCTATATGATTTTGGATGCCACTTTCCCTCAGTCCAATCTACATGTGTTACGGACCAATTAGAAATTCCACCAGGGTCGATCATCTGATGTAAAAGAACAGCTTAGACCGATAAAACACATATAACAGAGTCACAGTTGTTTATTTACAGATGGATAATGTACTGACATTGAAAAAGGTTGGAAAATAGTGTTCGTCGGCATAGCAGTTCGGGCCATCCTTAGTTCGCTAAAAATGTCGAGCAAGAAGAAAGCCAGTTAATGGACAGATTTGTGATGGGTGATGACTTGAAAAAGAAAAACACAAAATAATTATGTATTAGATTTACGACAATCAAATCAATGTGAGTAAACGAAGACAAACTCATTAAACAGAGTAGGCCGAATACGATAACGAAGGTAATAATACCCTTTCAAAATGACACTATAGTATTTGGCTTATAAGTTAATATATGACAATCAAGCATATCCTTCAACACTCAAGTATCCATTTCTAAGCAAAAGTACACCATATTCAGCCAACCTGCCTGCATGAAGCAAAGATGGAATGAACAAAAGCTTTGGCATACAAGACAGGTCAGTGCAACAAGTGTTAACTTGATCAGTCCAATTTTGATATTCCATTAGCTGAAGAGCTAAACCACATGATTAAACCAAAAGTATCATGTATTTGATTTTATATAGTGGTTTAATATAGAACTAACATTTCAGATCTAGCCTACAAGAAAGCAAGAAAGCAAGAAAGTCAAGCAAGCATAGCACAAGCAATCTGATAATCGGTCTACAATCATCACAACAGATGAGGTCATTACAACAAATAGATTACCTTACAGTAAAGCTTGAATTTTGTATAGTAAAGACTGTCAGCCATCACAATAATAGCATGGTGTCGCTTCATGGAAAACCACTGAAATTTACAACGTTATAAATACTTAAGAGTGAGTATTCCAACCATATGCTATCGAGAAAAAATTAAAGATGTCATCATAATTGACAGCTGTGATGAAAGTGCTCTCCATCTACTACAGAATTTAATACAAAAACTGAAGATGGATAAGGATTGGAGGGATGCGGATCTGACTCCATTTATTTGATCTGCCAGGTTTATATCCTCAACAAAGGATGCAAATTTTTAGGTTCATTAACATCCATCCCAGTTCGAAGAGATAAGAACAAGAAGAAAGTAATGGAGGGAAAAAGGATACTCCCTTTACAAGTTACTA